GACTGAAACAAGAATGTTTTAAATATTTTCTTTGAGACATATTTAAATTTTATCCATAAGAAGTATCTACACAAGAATGGTCACATTGGTTCCTGAGAATTTATTTTCTCCATGACTGTATTTAATTTAAAAGGACTCATTTGTGATAAATGTAATAAATTATAACCAATGTACAAATTATTTAGTAGTTGTTAATTCTTAGAGTTAAAATCACTCATGCCAACTTTTTCCTTTTTTCATTATTTAACCTACAGCCAAGTTAAAAAGGATACCTTCACCTACAGTCTTTGGAGGTGACCTTGACAATGTTCTTTTAACAACTCAGAGTCAGACGGTCAATCGTTTCCGGTTTAAGGTTTGTTTTTTTGAGATTTCTGAAAGAGATTCAACAGTAAAATACATTTATGAACACATTTTTCATGTTACCGATCTACTTTCCCTCTTGAGAAATATTTATTCCAAATCAAAGGACTAACTGGACAACCGGACACCACTTTTCTGAGTCTATTCACTCAAATATAACAATAATAATATTTCCTTCAGCATTTATTTTTGAAAAGTATAAATAATGTATCCCACATGAAGTATTTGATATGGTGTCTTAGAGAGAATTAAGACTGAGTAGATATTAGTAATTAGTAATTTTTATTATTTAAACTATAAGCTATGATAAAGGATTAAAATTTAATTCGAGAAAAGTGTTTAGAATGCCATCTCAATGTCGCTTATACTCAGTGTGCCTTTTTACCAGTTATTAATGGTATTCATGATTTTAATGAAACTGATTCTCATTGATACTCGGCCAATAGTTTATTATTATTTGATTTGGAAGTAAAACCAGCACCATATAATTGGTAAATTAGCTTTCTAGCAACAATTTTGTAGGACTTATGGGTTTTTTTAAAACAAAATTAAAAATTCTTATGGGACTATCTACAGGGGGAACACTGATAAGCACTGCTCAAAAAGTGTAGCGTTCAATAATTAATAATTGATAATACTATTATCAATATTCTTATAAGCCAGTTAATATCTTCATATGATTATATATACAGTGCTTTTCTAACCAGCCAAATCTTTTATTTCTTAACAATTTACATGGTTTGTACATAACCACTCAAATATATTAAAATGAAAGTTATGGCTAGATTAATGCTTCTATAAAATTTTAAATGTATTATATTTTACTTGAAGCTTGCATTGAATAATTAATTCAGAACTTAGAAAAGCAAATGAAGGTTTGGTATCAAGTATTTTAATTTGTTTAAACTTTTGCAGATTACCGATCTAAACAATGCCCGATTTAAAGTTCCTCATCAGTATATCCAAGAATTCACTGGGCCTGTACCTTCTGAGACAGCGTACGAAGTGCAGGTTACTGAAATCCCCTTCAGTATCAAAGTTATTAGGAAAAGCAATCGCAGAACTTTGTAAGTAGTTATCTCATTTTACCTTCATATAAAACAACTGGTCATCTTTATTCTATTGTTATAGAAGAGGAATGTCTGATTGTCAAGGTATTTTCAGAAAGAATAAATTTCCTACCCAAAGAAGGTAGATATACATCTTTGTAAAGATTATGAGGATAAGGCGTTTTTATTTCCTTTACATGAAAAATGCTAGAACTTGCATGAGAATACACAAAGTTGAGCATACCATAGGTGAGGGTGGGGAGCCTTGGCGATGCACCTATACTCTGGTGTAATTTTTACGTATATAGAACTCCTTTTATGTCTTTCCCTCCTTATTTATCATATTCTGTTGCCAATTTGTAGAGTCAAATAGTTCCTATTCAGAGAGGGGCACTTATCATGGTAATACTAAAATTATGCATGTATGTATTTAATGAACTATAGACTGAATGCCTTCGTAGGAATACATTTGTGGGGGTGTATGTGGACAGGGGATTTAGTTATAGCCTATGAACAGTTTCAAGGGAAATTCTCTTCATTGCCAAGAAATGTTAACAAAGCAATCAGCAAGATCGGATTTCAGCAATTAATTCTATTAAATATATTTTGATAGTTTCGCAATTACATTTGTGTTAAAGTCTAAAAATATTCAGTGCTAAGGAAAAAAAAAAGAGGCCTCCAGAACTAAAGCATAAGCTCACTTACGTATGGACTCTAGCATCAAAAAGTCAAAATTATTGTCAACATTAGGGTTAGGGTTGGTGGTTACTGGAAGCTGGAGGTTGGAGAGAACGTGGAGATGATGGTCAAAGGATTAGAGAAAAGAAATCGTTTGAGATGTGTTGTATGGCGATAATGTAGTTATTAATGAATTTAATGTATATTTCAGAATTGCTAAGGGAGTAATGTAGATTCCAGCTTTCACACCACAAAATTGTATATAAGTTGATGGAAATATAAATTATCTTGATTTAAAAATTTAATAACATATGAAAAAAATCCTATAAAAACTCCATAAATACAGTCCTCCCTCAGTATCCTTGGGATATTGGGTCAAAGATTATGTAGCATTTTCCTATAACTTAGACGCTTCTTCCGATATACTATAAATGACCTCTAGATTACTTGTAATACTTAATACAAAGTAAAGGCTATGTAAATAGTTGCTATATGGTATTGATTAAAATGTTATTATAAGAAAAAACCTTATTATACAGTAAGATATTATTATAAGAAAAAAAATCATGTAGAGGACACAGGTGACCTTCCATTTTTTTTCTCGAAATATTTTTAATCTATAAGTGGTTAACTCCACAGAACCAAGAGGCACAGATACAGAGGATCCAGCATTGTAAATAATAATGGGATATTATTATTTATCAATCAAATTTAAAAATGAAAATAAAACATATTAAATACAAGTTAACATTTCTTTATATAAGTATACGTTTTGTCTGCATAAAATATACAACTTAAATTTTTTGGCCGAAAATGATTTTGAACTTAATTTTTGCACAAACTTTAGATATGAAAACGTTTAGTGTGATACCGTATTTTTAAACTCAGTCCCAGGACCAAAGCAGAACTGGGATTGAAACCTTGCCCTGCTGTTGATCAGTTTGTGACCTTGGAAAACACCTAATTTTCCCAGCTTGCGTCATCTGTGAAAAGGAATTGACAATAATAATCAGACTTTAAGTTTCTGATGATGCCCAGAAGAGGGAGTGCACATGAACGATATTGGCAGTGATGAAGCAAATTGTGTTGATGGAATGAACAAGTTCTGTTTATGGGGCCTGACAATTAAGTTCACAAACACATCCTAGAAAGAGTGCTACGCACCTCATTGCTAAATTATCAGTCCAGTCACCTTTCTGGTCCTTCCCTTGGGATGCTGTGTTTCCATACCGGCTCCTCGTCCACTCTTCAAAGCAGTTTGGAGTTCCTTTTCTGGGTTGGCCATCAGAGCTGTTGTCATATTGCCTTTGACATCCTGAACGTCATCTATACATCTTCCTTTTAATATTTCCTCTTGCTTTGGGTGAGGAAAACGATCACTGGGGGCCAGATAAGATGAGCAGGGAAGACACTCCAACACACTTACTGTTCACTCACTAAGTACTCCCTCTCATACAGCGCTGCGTCTGCGCTTCACTTCTGCTCATCCCTGAACAGCTTTGGGAACACTTTCCACACATCTTTCTCATACCGAGAGTTTCATTTAAGATCTTCCTATTTCTCTGCTGATATGTATTTGGTCTGCTATGCTCCCTATAGCCAGGTGATGATTCTGATGCACAATTCCATAAATTTTCTGCAGTTCTGCTTGTTACTGGCCACCCTCAGAAAAAACGTTTAATTCAATTGTACACTGCTGTTTTCTTCATGGCATTATCCCCATAAACTTGGCCTACTACATCCCACATTGCATTTCCACTTTTGGAAATTAACATTGTTCATGGCCTAATTCAAGCTCCAACCTCCTTGTGATGATGCACAAAAGCGGACCGTGACAATGTGAACACCATTCACCGAGATACCGCCATGTGTCACCGAGACCACAGCTTGAGGCCCTGACAGTACAAGGATCACAAAACCTTACTGAGTTGTTTGTACAGCGCCGCCAAC